CACGACGGAAATACAGCAGTTCTTCCAAGGAAAGGTAAGTCTTTCAGAAACCCGTTCTGGCAGGAGTGCTTCAATAAAAACCCTCCTTGGATTCTGGCCCGTTGCTGCCACGGACAGCAGGCAGGCGGTTGTGTGACGTGTTATTCACAGACAAATGTTGGCATCTCAAAGTGAATTTTGCTCATAGCGATAAAAATTATACTGTAAAACTCTTCCTTTCCTAGAGGTTGAAGAGCATTATCCTGCATGGTAGTAAATTTCTCCTTGCAAAAGACTTCAATTAAATAAACCTAAGTGATTTTTCAAAATGTTTTGACATTTATCTATTTGTAAGTGAGTTATAGGGCAGCTTAAGACAGAACCCACTCTCTTTTTGTCGTATATTCCCATTTCTAATATTATGCCGAGGCATTTGGGTTGCAGTAACAGATGACTGGGTTCGTTTGCTTTCCTTGTTTCCCTGCAGATCAAGGTTGTTAGCCTGCAGCCAGAAGTGCCTCAGATTGATTTGTATGTTCTTGGCCAGTCCGATCACTTTATCGGGAACTGTGTCTCTTCGTTTACCGCCTTTGTGAAAAGAGAGCGCGACGTGCATGGAAAACCCTCTTCGTTTTTTGGCATGGACCACCCACCAAGGTTACGGGATGAATTCTGACCAAAAGAGGAACAGGCTCCGTAGTTCTCAGGGCTCTGAGCTTGGTACCTTGCCGAGGGACCACTCGGTGCTGACGGCGTTCTCCTGCCTGCAGAGCACACTGCCGGGCTGCCGCAGACCCGCTTCAGCCCTGTGGTGCTCCTCACAGTCGCTTCTAGACTGTTCTGTCTGACTTCTCCTGCATTTCCGGTGTGAGGTCAGACAGAAGACAAATTTTAAATCATGTAGTTTATAGGAAACTATAAACTATATATAGTTTTTAAGATTTTAAGGTGTAGTTTCTGTAGCTCTCCATTCTCACTATTTGGGGTTCGCCAGCAATCGTGATGAAGCAGCTGCTCAGATTTCCTCTTCTCCTTTTTTTATTTTCCGTTTAAGTTTAAATTTTACCTGGAGATGTTGTGAAGCTTCTTGTCCAAAACTGACCCTAAGTTCTTTTCTTTTTAAGTGCAAAGTATTGTCGGGAGTATCACGGTCCCTGGGAAGGGAGTGCAAGGTAAAACTCAGGACTGGAAATTAGCTCTGGGTTTTAGCGGGTACCGCTGTTGCCTTACTAGACTCGTGTCACCTCAGTGCCTCCGTTTCTATTCCCCTGTCAAAAGAGGTTTCATACCCGCTCCGCAGCGGTGCTGGGGGGCGCCTGGATCTCTTCAGCGGTGCTAGAGCAGCGCAGCGGGGACATGTTTTAATGTGGCAGCTGCCTGTTCTGCCCGGCTCTGTGTGGAACTGGGGAGAAGGCGTTCGCAGGGACACAGGCGAGAGATCTTTCATAGCCAGTCGAGAGCTGGAGACGTAGGGCTTGTAGCTTTGTAGCTGTTGATGTCAGGTGGAGGGCTGCGGTAGCGACGGAACTGGTTTTGAGCTAAGACTTTTAAAGTAGCCGTAGTGGGGTTGGTGTACGTCGTACCTAGGTCTGTGTTAACGGCTTCTGTTTTCTTGTTTGTTTTTGTACTCTGTCGAAGAACCCCTCTGACAGCAGAACCCTTGTCTGGGGGGGTGGCTCCCGGTGGAGGTAACGGTGGAAGGAGCTCGCTGACGGTGAAACGGCAGCCCCAAACCCCTTCGTGTGGCCCAGCGCAGTTTAGTGCTGGGAACACTGATAATCCCGACGTGGCGAGACTCAACTTGACCGATGCCTTTTGGTACTCCTGCGACTTTGCTCAGTCTCTGGACAAAGAGAGAAAATTGCAGAACTTACTGTTTCTTTTTCAAAAATGCCACTTAGGGGAAGCCGTGGTACCCGCTCCGGCTGCCTCCAGCGCACTACTACGGTCCAAATGATGCTGAGCGTTTACTGGGGTTTAACTCTAAATGTCTTTTTGGTGCTGGGTCTTTTTTTTTCCTCCTTGGAAACATTCCTGAGCTTTGACGGGGTTTGAAGGCTCAAGGGAGTGAGCAAAAGAGGGCTGAACGAGGAGGTGCCCCGAGGGCCGGGGCGGCAAAGGCTCATCTCTTGTTTCCTCAGTGCTGGCTTCCAGAAATCCGTGGGCGTGGGTGGTTTGGGGGCCTCCGGCCGCGCCCCGGCGCGGGCCCAGGGGAGCCGGGGGCCTGGATTTCACCCCGCTATCCTGGATGATGCCGTCAGGGCTGCCTTGCCTCGCCACGGGGCAAGGGCAGCCTTTCCAGACAGCAGTGGGAAGACAGTGTATTAAGAGAAAAGGGGGTTTGTGTTGGTTTTTTTCTTTAAAAAAGGGACTTTTTTTGTAATAATAAACACTTGAGTTTGTATTCACTCGTGTTGACCTGAACTCCCTCCCTCCGTTGCTGTGCGCCCGGTGAAGCGGGCACCTTCCCGG